GGGGGGGGGGGGGGGGGGGGCTTCTGGGGGAGCTTACAGAAGAAGGTGGGGTCTCCCTTCAAGACGGGCGGGAGATCTGGCCAATGGGAACAAAAGAGAGCGAGGCTGGGATTGAGCGGCGCGGCCAATCGTGGGTCGTGCACGGCAGAGCCGCTGGGGGGGAAGGCGGGGGCGGTTTAACCTCTGCGGCGGCCCGAGGGGTGGGGGTTGGCGGTGGGAGGGTGTGCGGGGAGGCCGCTCCCGCCCCAGGAGGGTCCGCGCAGTGGTGCCGCGTCACCTGGGTTACGCGCAGAGCCTCGCAGGCCCGCGGCTGCGAGGAAAGACGGCTGCGGCTGCAGAGGAGGCGCCGGATAGCGGGGCCAGCCGCGCCTCCTCCATCGCTGCCGAGCGGGGTTGGCACTTCTGCCGGCAGCTGGGCGAGGGCCGATCCCGCGGGCTCATAGGAAAAATAATAAAGAGATTATTTCTGTGCGGTGACAGCTGGGCTAAGCCCGAGCTGCGTGACACAGCGCGGCATTTCTTACATAAATATTTAATGGAAACGCAAAGATGTTTCACTGCAGCCAGGGGTATTTCCGTTTGCAAATGTCAGTGTAGTCAGGTTGAAGCTTAAAAGGTTCGCGAGGTGCCGAGAACGTGAAGGTGGGAGGGATTGCTAGAATGCTAGAAAGGCATTTTTAGACCGCTCTGTGCTATTTAATCCACTCATTACCTTTGAAAAAAAATGGTAGAGTAATATAATTGTAATTGCCGTGGTCAGCACCAGAGCATCAGTTTTAGCAACGCGCCTTTACTGCGTTAAACCATGTTGTGTGCTAAATTCATATTGCTGCGTGTGTGTACGGAATGGCCGCTGACTCGGTTTCTTGTCCAATGCAGGCTGAAAACCTGGCTGGCTGTGGATGAAATCCAACTTCCATTCTGAGCTCCCAGGGAGACCCAGCCTTAGTGTTAGTAATCACTTACCACTAATGCAGCCCAGAACAATTTTTAGAGCTTAAAATACAGATTTCATACATAATACATAGTACAGCACATCGTCTTGCAAGTACTTATAAATTACGAGCCAGATATCTAATATACTATTGGGTATTAAAGCGTGGATATTTTAGTATCTGAACAGACTCCTGCCCAAAAGTATTCACAAATTAAAGACCCAATCCAGCATTGTAAATTGGAAACTTTCAATGGCTTCTCTGGGAATTGTGTCCCAGGAATGCAGTATCTAGCCTCACAGCTGGATGAAACAGATGCAGCACATTCAGTAACAAGTTGATAGCATGTACAGTCAGAAAAAAATATTGTGTAAAAACGGAACGTTCGTAATCATTTTATACCCTTTGTATCTAAGATATTCTGACTCATGGTTGCTTCACTTACTGACTGAAATAAAATTTTTGGCTTCTGTTACCTTTGCGGTTGCTGACACAATTACGGTACAGCAAGCTGAGGACTCTTTTGGCTCTTTCATTTTCTTTACTAAGTTCCAGTTGAAGAATTTTAATTAGTATTTGAGCCAGAAAGAAAACTGTGTGGTTTAAAAACCTTGGGTCCAGTTTGAACGGTCATCAGTCCTAAGCAGCCTCTTTTTATTTGTAAACTGAGCAAATGGCTTACAGAAAATTTAGAAGGCAAAAATAAAAAACATTGATGTTCAAGTGAAGCCATTTTTAGTCAATTTCCGCAGTGGAACTGTAATTTATAACACTGCTCCCTTTATCTATCTGAATGTGCCCCATTCATCTGTGGTAACATTGAATCAAACAATTCTCTTGTTTTAAGACCACATCTGCTTTACTGTGCCCCCTGCACCAATTTTAATTATGTGGCAGATCTGATTGGATTCAGCACCTGCAAGTATTCCCTTTGGGAATTCCAATTAGCTTATAAAACATTTACTTGATTACATTTTTTAAATAAAAGTATTGTTTCATCCTAACAATAGGACTATTAACGCGTAGAATGAAAAAGGGTTTTAACGTGATAAGCAGCGTGTGTTTTTTGTGTATATGTCTTCCATAAGCTTAGAGGAAAATGGTAATCCTGAAACCTAATTTCTCCAGGCTCAGCAGATGTCTGTCCTGTGTTAGTCTGTTTCTTCATGAACAGCTGTCTCACAAGTGCCTCCCCTTGTCTCTACAGAATGTCTTTTGTTTAATAATTTCTTGATATGTTATCTCCTGGTCCCACTAAGACAAGCTTTTAAAAAATCTTTTTTGGTACCTGTAAGTAGTCTCTTTATAGTTGAATAGGTTTTGAAGAATTTAGCTAAAGCTATAGAACAAGCCTCTCAGCTATTTTCTTAGTAGGATTTCTACTCAACTAAGCAAATGGCTGCATATAATTGACATTTTAAGTTATAATTAACAGTTGCAACAACAATTTAATATGAGAAAAATTGTTAGTTATTACAGAAATGCTTCAGAATATGCTTTTGAAAGCACCGTCTGTGAAAGCCGGTAACCTGTCTAGAGCTGGGATCTTGAGGTCTCGGAGCGTATGGCAGAAAGTGCAGCCCTCTAGCGGCAGAGGTCACGGGTAGTTTTTTTCAAGCTGTGATTTTATCACGAGTGAGGCTTAACAAAATAGTTTTTAGGAAAAAAAAAAAAAAAAAGCGCAAACTACCCAGGACACTGCCTTGTGGTGCTATCAGCCCCCTGTACTTTTCATGGTCTGAAGCACCTGTGCAATAGTGGAGGCCTGTTGTACAGCTGTTGTGCAGCTTTATTCCCACTCTGCCATTATTTCTGTGGAAGAAGGACCAATGGAAAAAAATTAAAATGTCTGTTATCAGCAGAATTTCCTTTTTTTCTCTAATCTGCTTCCCTGCTATTCTTTTCCAGCCAGTTCCAGACTGGCATATCTACCCAGTTGTTCTTCAAGCTGTTCCTTTTCCTGTTTCTTTCAGTTATCTCCTGCCAGTTAATATGTTCTGTAACTTCAGAAAGAATTAGTTCAGTGATAGTATGGAATGCAAGTTCAGTTTCCCAGCCTTATTTCTAAGAACACTGTTGTCTTTGAGAGGTGTGAATGGTCTCTCTCACAGGCATGAGAGCTATCTTTATAAATGACAGGGATTAGTAAGAGACATAAACCAAAGTAATGAAATATATATGTTAACACATAGAAGTCCACAGAGTAACTTTACATCAGTTACCTCAGTAAACACATCCTAACCTCATTAGGTTCACTTACCATCAAAATATATGAATCAAATGGGGGCCTGTTTCATGTTTTAGCGGTTCAGTGACTACCTTTGGAACCAGACTCAACTCTGTTTCCTGTAGAGGTGATAGATACCTCTTCTAGCTAATAGAATTAATGGCTTGGTTTTCCTCTTATAGGAAATATGACAGAGCTCAGTAATCTTTAGATGAAAAATGATATCTCTTAAACATCCAGAGTAGGTAAAAGAAAACAAGTTCTGTTTTTATTCACAATAAAACTGGTATTATCCAAGATCATTGGAGTTCTTCATTATCAAACAATTGCTCTGGCAATTTATGTCTGGCAAACCTTTGCTCCACTAAAACTGCAGTTACTTGAAAACTGAAAATATAACTTACTCTTTCAAGCTTTTAACATCTGCCTTCTGGTTATGATTTTTTTTTTTTTTTTTCTGCAGTAGTCTATCAGTTAAACTACAGTCATTCTTGATTAAACTGTCTAAGTGTTCTTTGCTTGAATACTTCATGAATTTTTGTCAGTAAATATTTTTAAATCTGATTGGAACTTCTAAATTGCATCAGTGTTAATCTTAGGAAAATAATACCCAGATTTAAGGAAGGAAGCTGAACATCTCATTTAGGAAGAGAGAAGCCTGATTATCCATTTTCCAGTATTTACATCCCCTATATTTTTCACACGTGTATTGGATGCACAGTACAGGCAACAGTTAAATCCTTTCATATTGTAGATGGTTACTGTGTGGTAGCTTTCTTTGCTTGCTTTCTTTGTGGATGGTGACTTCACAGTGGTAATAATTTGACCATACCATTTATCATAATATGAGTATATTAACCAAAATTCTCTGCTTAGAAGAGGAAGGAGAGAATGAGTATAGCAAGTCAATGGCCATTTCTGCTGTCTTAGCAAAGGGATCTCCTGCTTCCTTCTACTCCACAGTGTTCATCAAAATTCTTCATTCCTACAGATGTAGATCTGTTTTATAAACTATTCCTGTGTTTCTTCTATTTTGAGGTTACCTAATAACATACCCTGATGTCAGTATGAAAAATAAGGTAACCTCGGAACAAGATCATTTTTTGTCTCCTTCAAGGAATTGACTAGGATAATGGTACAATCCATAAAACTCCAGTGGCTAGAGAATTTTCCCAAAAAGTCATCTCCACAGTGACTTTGCTGTACAGTAAGACCTTTTATTTCTTAGAATTAAAGAAACTGAAGACTCAATATCAGCTGTTTTTCAAGAGTTGTATTCTTCTTTCCCCTTTATTCATTTACTTTTTAAATACTGAAATAAATAAATCAG